TGAAACGTTGAGAAAACATAAAATTAGCGAATCGGATTTTTTTATGAAAACAAACTTCTTCGGGAAGTTAAAAATAATCTGCGTCTTTGACGTGAGTCAAAATTTGACCTTTTCTCGACGTTTTCTCGTCTGGACCGATGTTCAAATTTAAGAACTATAAAATGAAACTGGATAAGCCCTTGCGTTGATTAGTTTTTTAGACAATTGGTCGATCCGTTTCTTTACTATTGACAGAAAAGTGCAAAAATTATCGTCCATGTTTTTGTCAAAAATTTTGAACCGTTTTTGCTTAAACTATTCGATTTATATCATTTGGAAATAAATGGTTTCTAGCGAAGATCGGTCAAGTCGTTTCTTTTTCATAATAGATTTGTCATTTCTATTTCCATGGCGATAGAGTTTTTGCTCTAAATGAACGTGCTAAACTATGGCATGACAAGTGGCTTACTTATGATAATTAAAGTTTGGATTATTTGGCCGCGCTTTTAAAAAATTCACCGTGTGTATGTATTCGGCTTCGTATTTCGTATGTGCTCGTTTTCCATCAATGTGTAATATTCAAACCATTTTTTTCAAAAAAAATAATTACTATATTTGAAAAAAAAAACAATTTGCAATCGTTCCTCTCTTCAAAATGGTTTACAGCTATTAGGTATACTTCTCTAAATCAGTCATTATAAACTTCCCATAGGGTAGTTATAGTAATAGGCCGAAAATCTAACGTTTTGAAGGATTCTGAACACTTTGGCATACCTCAGATAAAATGGATGTGTGTGTGTGTTTTGTTTGTCCGCATTTTTTCGTCCACGTTTTCGGGCGCACGGATTAACCGATTTGAATGGTTCAAAAAACATTCGATTCTTATTGATAGGGAGATGTGCTGATTAGGTTTTGGTAAAGACAAAGGTCCAGCAGTTACGCAGATACGGAGCACAGAGTGCAGAAAATACAAATCGAGTTTTTGAGAGAACAGAGTATTCGATTTGAATGAATGAGCGAATTTGAAATTTCGGATGAATGATTTTTTTCCCTGAACTGTAATAAAACATATATTTGCAATACGATTAGAAAATCCTTAAATTTTAGGGTTTTTGACTCCCCCATTCGTCTACAATCAGTTAAATATTCAAGTTATAAAATGTGTTTGGTAAAAAAAATACATAAATGAAATAATTATGAAGTAATTTTGTTGTTGAATTAATGTTTTATCTAAGTCCTAAGAGAGGCCCAGGGGGGGTCATGACCCCCGTGACCCCCCCCTGGATCCGCCACTGAATTTACCTGATAAGATATATTTAATTAAGTTTAAATATATGTATTTCTATATTTTATTGCTATTTAAAATGTAGTATTAAGTGCTTTAAATGCTAATAAATAATACTCAAATATAAAAAAAATATATTTGATAAACCTTCTCTCATTAGTCTCATAATATCTGAATAAATATTAAACTGGAGGGCGTCCATTAATCACGTGAGACTTTTAGAGGGAGAGTAGTGTTTGACAAAAAATCACAAAAAATCACATGGGTGAGGGAGGGGTCTAGTTAGATATCACGTGTATTTATATTTTACCTAATTTTTTTTTTCAAAAAAATCCAAAATTTTATGATTTTTTCGTAAATTCGAAAAATTTGTTCGAAAAATTATACGTAACTAAGAATACACGTAATATTTAGTGGGGGAGAAGGGGTAATTTTAAATATTACGATGTATTATCTGGCGGGAGGAGAGGTCAAAAATCCTGAAAAATCTATCACGTGATTTATGGAAGCCCCCTACTATAAGTAGCATTTTGCTTTTAAGGCAAGTTGCATGAACTTTCCAATACGTATACATAATCAATTTAATGAAATTTTTATTGAGATTTTTAATTGATGTCTTCCAAACATACTTATTGTGTCTGTATAAATTAGATTAATTTGTTTAACACAATTTATTTAATCCATTCTGGTTCTAAAAAAAATTAATGTGGTCGTGAACTGTAATCAGTAACTCCCTAGTAAAATTTTCAACCGATTATCGTAGGCCTATAATATTTCTGTTTGTTATCGTAGGCCTATAATATTTCTGTTTGTGATTTTAGACTACCAAATCAATTGTTATACAAAATTTACATTGACATGGCCCGGCAAATCTTTACCAAAAACTAATCAACGCGATTCCCAATTTTAGCAAAAATAAGCAATAGAGTATTCAATTGATGTTTTTTAAATTTACTTATACTAGTATACTCTAGTGTCTAGTATACTATACTATAGTATCGGTTATTGTATAAATCAGATTAATTTGTTCAACCCAATTTATTTAATTCATTCTGGTTCTAAAAAAAAATAATGTGGGCGTAAACTGTAATCAGTAACTCCACAGTAAAGTTTGATGAATTTTTATAAATCAACCGCTTATCGCAGAACTATAATATTTTAAACACACATACTGTGCCAAATTTGATCTCATTATATTCAGAATTACTTGCAACGCCGTGAAAACATAAATTTAGCAAAATAATAAACTTCTTTTTGGGAAATTTGTCACATTATTGATGTATTTTCTCATTCTCATCGGCAGTATCGTGGATACAAATTATAATTTACATTATTAGATTAAATATATTTCTCCAGAAAAGAATTGTGACATAGCCCTGTAAGAAACAAAAGAAATATTCTCTAGAATTCAGCAGTGGATTTAAACCAGTTTGCAGAAATGTCAGTAAGTTGAAAGCTTTCGAAATATTTGGAATTAGCCTATTAGCCAATTAGCCAGCCCAGTTTTTTCAATTCCAAAATCGATTATCAACTTGTAAAATATATGATTTTTTTAGAGTACTTGCGCCTATTCCATGTGGATCTTAAGGAAATTTTTGGTAGTACTTAAAATCGAATGCCAATCTAATGATCGTATGACAATCCGTTATGAAAAATATAAGAAATTGCAAAAAAATAAATCATTGCAAATCGACACAAACAAGATCGAACTTCAAACAAACAAAATTCTCGTCAACTTTTCGATCTTCAACCTGCCATCCCTAGTCGATACGCGTGCTGCGTCCAGCAAGGTGTTGTGCATGTGTGCAGCACGGTGCATCGGATTGGACCATCACACGTGCACATCGATGCACATGTGTTGGTGGCACGCGTTTAGGGCAAATGTTAATATCGCCATCTCTATCCAACAACCTTTATCCCATCTGCACCGACTGAGATAAAAGACGAAAGCTGCAAGTGTGATCGAAGGGTCTGTGTAGAGTGGAACGATATCTGATATTTTCTCTGGAAATTGTAAATTTTTTTATTTTTGCCGAATTTAAGTCAATAGCGAAATATATTTGCATTAATAAAACGAAAGGTTTTTTGAAAATGGTTGTTTACATGCCAGGTGTATTTGCGCTCCCGTGGATTGGGGATTTTTAATATGGAATAAGTTTTTTGGAGTTAATTTATATCTATATTTTGAAATAGGCCTTTTTATTGGGTCTATTAAAAAGTAAAACAAACAAGCTAATTTGGCGAACGTCATGTGAATGTATTTCTTTTCTGGAAATATGGTGGTTTACAACTCTCACCCCATATTTGAAGAAACCATACTAGGAAATATGATAATCTTTCCTGGATATTTTGGCAAAATAAAAAATAGATAAAAATAAATTTTGTCTATAAAATTTATTATACAGCATATTAAATAAATTAAAAAAATATTTAAAAATCTGACATTACATAACTATATAAAATATTATATTAATGATTCCTAAAACATGATATATTTATATGCTGCAATGGAATATTCAGTACATTTCAGAAAGAATCTAAATATTAACTAATTGAATTTTCATATTTATTGAATTATTTTATCACTTAGAATATTTAAGAAAAATCCAAAATATTAACTAAGAAATCTTTTGAAGTTACTATGAATTTATTATTTTATTTATAAATTATTTAAAACAAAAATAATAAAAATATTGTATTAATAAATATCTATTACAAAGTAACAAATGTAAATGTTTCATAAAAAAATTAGAAAAATTTTAAAAATAATTATAAAATTTGTTTTTTTTTTTTGTACTTATCTACAAATATTTTAAATTAATAGGAAAAAATTAAAGATAGATCCAAATAAAATAATATATTCATTTATTTATAAATGCGAAAGAAGAAACTATTAATGTTGGAATAAATTACAAAAATTTGCTTCTTTGAAATAAAAATAAAATTAATTTATAAATATGATTTGGTGCCATACTACGCTTAGCAAAAATATGTATCAATTCATATTTAAAGTTAAAATATTCAAATTATTAAAATTAAATTAATATCTAAAAATTGACTGAAATTTTTATTGTTTTTAAGATAGAATAATTTTTTATAATAAAATAAAAAATTAATCGTTTTAAATGAAATGTAACTTGATTTACAGTTTTAAAGAATTTTATAGAGAATAGAACTTGCACATAAAGTGAACATAAAAATATTTATACAAGTTTCAAATTGCGTTCAAATCTTTGAGTAGCTTTAAAAATTGAGCTAATTAAAGTTTTAAAATTATAACTAAGTGACAATAATTACAAGCACATAATTTATTGAAGCTTGCATCTGATTATTATTTTTATGTAAATATATAAAATTTATTAAAATTAAATATTAAAATTTAATTTATATAAAGTGCATTGTTGGCAGTAAAATTATTCAGAAATCATTATAAAAGTGCAATTATTATGTTATACTAAATGAAAATTGTTACTACCAATATTTGTAAAGTTTTATAATAAGAAATGAATAATTATATTTTTTCAGTCAAATTATTTTTTTTTAAGTTTTGCTTATTTTCTTTCTGAATATTAAAATCACATACAAAATTTTCGTAAATCTGTAAAATCTCATATCGAAAATCCAACTTTGCTTTTAGCCGGCCGGCAGCGAGCGCGCACCGCCGGCGTCGGGTGTTATGTTATTTAACAGGCGCAACAGTTGAGTCTTCGAACTTCGTGGCGGGGGAAAAGTTCCCATGCGTGTACGAGAGCGAGAGGCCAGGTTGAAATAAAACAACCCGCTTCGCCGCACTGCTCGCGCTCATGCCGAAAGCTCTCAAGAAGTAGTGGGAGAATGCCGCGCTAACTCGAAAACAGAAAAGCTCCGCGTTGGTGGGGATAGGATACCATCAAGAGAACCATGGTACTTAGTCAGACAGCTTTAGTCCTTTTGTATCATTCTTATTTCGACCGTCTTACAGTGTGCACGTTCTAAAATTTTCAGTTTTGTAACAGTGAAGTTTACAAGTTTGTGAAGTTAAGTGTATGGACTATTTTTTTTGTTGAAATGGCAGCTATGACAATGACATCGCAACAAATTGGAAACAAAATGTTGACAAACAACTACCAAATAATCGATGCCCAAACTACGAAAACCAAAGGGTGTTATTACAAACACCGTCTCCGCAAATGTTATCGCCTGTCGAATATCAGCAACAGTTGCCGACAAAGCGGCCTTTGGCACCAGCTCCTGAACGCCAAACTGTTCTGATTTCTCAACAACCACCAGCTAAAAGGAAAGCATATCAAAACCAAAATTATGGAATCCAACCTGCTTCAGTTGCCCGCAGGAACGCTAGGGAAAGAAATCGTGTCAAGCAAGTCAATAATGGTTTTGCAACTTTACGTCAACATATTCCTAGTTCCGTAGCTACTGCTCTATCAGCGGGTCGTGGCGCTTCGAAAAAACTTAGCAAAGTCGATACTTTGCGAATGGCAGTTGAGTACATTAGAGGTCTTCAACAATTATTAGATGAAGTTGACGGCAATAACAGGGACGTTGACAGAGAAGTTGCAAGGGAAAGCAGCATGATGGTGCAAACTCCACCTTGTTCGGAATCATCAGCTTCACCTACACCTTCTTTTGCTTCCGATGGAAGTTTGGGAGGACAAGCTTATCCTGCAGTTAGTACAGATTTGCAATTCAGGGACTCCTACGATGCCTATGAACCAATGAGTCCAGAAGACGAAGAACTTTTGGATGTCATATCTTGGTGGCAACAACAATAACGACAGGTTAGTTTCACAATCATAATTATTTATATGTATAAAATTTTGAATACAATGTATTTTTAATAGTTTTACAATTTCAAAATTTACCTTCCTACTTAGTAAGATTCTTGTTTGAGTGCTTAAAGTGTTAATGATATAAGTTTTCTTAAAATTAATTCAGTGTTTAGTATCAATTGAACAACAAATCATTATACTAATAAATCACCTCGAATTTAAATATTAAATTGTACAAACGAATTTCCTACCTAATATTCCGTGTCAAAAAAATTTGCATTATCACGCGTGCTAAATTTTTCGCAAAGGTTTCAAAAAATAAATCAAACTTTCCCTCAAAGGACAAATCGTAATTTATTACATTCGGTTATGATAATAAGCATTCCCTAAAAAAAACTTTCATCCCTCCGTAAAACTTTTTAAAAACCCTGTGCACTGACTATGGTATTTACCTGTACGGGTAATAACAAAAACGCACTGTGTCGCATTTTACCGTACCCCGTCGATCATATGTTACATAATGTTAAAGCATTGTTGAGGATTTGACACATAAATAGCCCAGGTAAAATGCAGGTAGTAGACTTTTTTGACATCCAAAATTCGCTTTGCCTATAAAAGTTCATCAATAACCTATAGTACAAAGACGTAGGATTTTATACGTATGCAAGACCGAGCAAAAATAATATTGATTCTAGATTTATATACGCGCATATCGTGTAACGGCCTTTTTTCACATATTTTTTTCTTAAATAGTTCAGGCAGTTCCTTGTTTGTGTTCCATCTCTTTTTGAAAATACATGTCTCGCTTTCTTGCATAGGCTGAAGTATAGATTTTTTTTTTTAAGTTTCTTGAATTTCGGTCCCAAGATTTTGTAAAGAAATACGAGCACTGATGCATGATGTCTTTAGAAAAATGTGTATAAAAAATATATAAAGTTTTTTGCGCCTTTTAGGGGTAGTCAACCATTTTTAAATATATGAACATCAATAACAACCTTAGTCGTTCTAAAATACTATCATATTATTATTATGATTACTTATGTGTTTGTTTTTTTGTTACAGATATTCCATAAAAGCAGCTTTTCAAGCTTCCAGAAGTTCAAAGTTTGAGCTTTTTTGTGAACTTGATGACTTACGACAGTGCCTTAAACAATACAGAAACCAAGGAAAGTGATAGTCCGTTATACAATACATCAAGCATTCCTCATATTATTATAATAACTCCTACCAAATCCAGTGATAAAAAACTAAAATTGAAAAATATTATGAAGTCGATATATGTTGTTGAAAAATCTAGTCATTATAATAATTATTGATAAGATATTGTATTGATAAGAGTTAATTTATCAATATACCTCTTTTTGTATATTATATATATTTATAGTAAATTTGTTATTGAAAAGAAGAGTTATTTGAGTGTAAGTTCTAATTACACAGAGACCTTGTTTATAAATAAGTATTAAATTATTGATATTTCATCAAGTGCTTTTGAAAGTCTTAGAAATAATAACGACACGTATTATTAGCATTTAGTAAGTTATTCATGACTTTTTAGAATAAGCGTTGCCGTAATAAAAAATTGCATTAAATAATTTTTAGACACTATTATTTTTTAAAAAAATATTGTATTAATTATTGTAAAATTATTTTGTTGTGTCTATTAAATCAAATGATTTAAAATTTTGTAAAAAAAATACTGTAATCGTACTAAGAATAATTTTGATATATAATATTACGGCAACGCAAAAACGTACTTAAGACAAAGAAGATCTGATGCCAGTGACTTAATAGGCTTAAATAAATATTGTAAATAGCGTTTTGTACATATATTTTTGATACTAAGATGTTATATATAAAGTTAAGCACTGATTATAATAAACATGGTCAGAAATGACAAATATTTAAAAAAAACTTTGAATTTTATTTTTTATCTCATATGTTTTCATTCTCCACAGGTTATTTGATATTGACATGATTTTACTAAATCTTAAAAATTTTGTTGCTTAATAAAATATTCAATTTAAAGTGTTCTACAAACATTTTGAAAAAACTCGAATAACATAGGACTAAAATTGCTAGTTGATTGATATATCTGATAGTTTTCACTTGAACACATTTATTTCTCCTAAATAATTTTTTGTGAAGATATACTATCATATTATAGCAATAACAATTCATTCATAATATTATCAAAATCACATTTATACAACTTAAATTAAATCAAAACTTTATTATAAGTTGCCCTATTCATGTTCTGCAAAAGTATTATATTACTACTAGAAAATATTTTAAGTACAGTCGTAGAACCAATTTGTGCAAGAATATTTCTATAGATTCACTAGTATAATTTGGTACATTAAACTCATAGATATTATAATATCAATAAGTTTAAAAGCTCACAAATTATATTAGGAAAACTTTTGTAATATGCTTGTGTCAAAGTACTTAAACTGGGAAACGATGCCATAAATTGTTGTTAAAAATTGTAAATTTTAAGTATTTTAAAATTTGTAGGTAATTTAATAAAGAATTTAATTTTGTTATTACGTATAAACTATTGCTAATTGATGTTAAGTATATTCATCCCAATATAGTTCTTCATAAGCTCAATAATGTAATCAATATAAACAAATTTAAAACGATCTGCCTAATAATTAAACAATATATTTTTGTTAACTCTGTTAACAAAAATTTTTTTTCCATAAAATCTACTTTATCATGTGTGTATCGTTAAATTTATGAAACCTTACATGCTGAACTGTGAGTATTGTTACAAAATCTTTAAAGTAAACTGAAAATTCTTGAATGCGAGCTTTATTCTCACAATCAGATCAATAAGATATCAACTCTGTGTGAATTCGTATCAAACACGTGCAATACCGATAGAACATTTATCATATGTGGATGACATATTAAACAGAGTGACAATATATATCTTTGTACTGCTGAGATAGCAGGATCTTAATAATAAAATGTCTTGTATAAAACTGTAACTTAAAAAAAAGTCTTCATATAAAACATCGATATATCATTGAGCAACATTATGAAACCAATCGTAATATTTAATTTTTACTATTCTGTATTAATAAACTAAATTATTAAATCGTTTCAGTACATATAAGTTTCAAAAATTACTCAATCGTAGGTTGCAAGGCAAGTTGGATGCAATTTACAATATGTGTAGATAAACGTTTTAATCAATAATAGTTTGATTTTTATATAATTTACCTGTCTAACAGTTTACTTGTTGGTGCCTAAGTTACTACATTCCACCTGTTTACTGCTTACCTGTCCACCTGTTTACCTGTCTACTTGTCTACTTGTCCACTTGTATACCATTCTGCCTGCCTTTCTATCTATCTTTCTATCTATTGACCTGTCGACCTCTCTACAAGTCTATTTGTCTACCTGCTTACCTGTCGACCTGTCTGAAGAGTCTACTTGTTTACCTATCTACCTGTCTACCGGACCACCTATTTACCTGGCAACTTGCCCATCTCTCTCTCTTCCCATTTTGTATACTTGTGTGTATGTTTTTGACTAATTCTACATATCTACAAATTTATAATATTGATTTGCAATGACAATTTTGTATTTAAAAAATAAAAATATTACCTATAAAAAAAATCATTGCTTTCGGCTAGCGATATATTCTTCCTCTAATGACAGACGAGCGAGCGCCAAAATAATTCGAACAATTACAAAGGTTCAAAAACTTGAAATGAAGATCGAAGAATTAAAGAAACAACAAAGAACATAACAAACAACCTATAATTCGCAAAAACGCAGTCGCCAAACAGCCATCGGCTACGAAATAAACGAAATATAATGAAATATGAACAATTTATCATTACACAATTCCATCACTACAGAAATAATTACGACCATCAAGTGATATTTTATTTAATTGCATGCATTCCCATTGCGTCACTTGCGTTTTAATTTTTTTGACTATTTTTCGAATGACATATGAAAAAATACGCTTCTGGATATACGCATTCGTCATAAAGAATAATGCGTGAATATGGATAATTAAATTTAATTCGGAATTGTTCACACTCGACATTTTGCATGTTACATACATGGCAATGAAACATTCGATCTTTTGTATGATTGCTTTTAAATATTACATTTATCACGTGTTTCACAAAAAATATCAATTTCATATTTAAGATCTAATAAGGTATGCAATACTATGTCCTTCAGATGAAACAAATAACCGCATGAAATAAAAATGCTGCGATATTTAAAGTTATTAACTTTCAGTAGGATAATATATAATAATTAATTAAAGATCGAAAATGAACTTCTGTGCATCTAATTACTTTTAAAAATGAATGAAATTTTGTGTGAGTGTGTATATGCGGATACAATTTTTGGTCGACGATTAGAAGTGCGCGGATCAACCGATTTGAATCCATCAAAAAATATATAACTTGCATTGATAAAAAAAGAAATGGTTAAATTTTTTGTTTTAAAGTTAAAGTTATGAATTAGTGGTGCATAGCCTCGTACCTTAAGTCAAATTGCTGGAACTTTCCGTACCGTAATTTAAAATGTTTAATAGCTCAGAAAGGAAAAATTAGATTCATTTTAATTTTGAGTTTTTTTTTGAATATTTTTAACAAAATGAAAAAATGCTTATTCAAAAAATACCTTTTTCGGAAATACTGATATATTTTGAAAACTTGAAAAGTTTTTGGAAACTGAAATTCTTTAATTTGTTTTTTAATTTTAAAATTTTGAAATTTGTTCAAAATTATTGACCCAGTCTATCGCATAATCTATACTGTTAAAAATATCAAATTTTTTACCACCAAATGACATTTTTTGAGCTTTTTTTGGTTCAACTATTACCAAAAACTAATCAAAACGTCTCCTTAACAATTGAAATTGAATACATTTTGAATAATTCAAATCGGTTGAGCGATGCTCCCGACATTGTCAATACATTATATATTTTAAAGGATACATACGGAATACAAAATTGTATCCACAAATAA